CCCTCCTTCCCCGGCAGAGCATCTGGTGGATTTGAACCATGTGCCTTTGGGATTGTAGTTGCAGTTCCTTGCCACTAGGCCACCAGAGCTCCCCTATTTGTTTTGAGTTTTATTCCACCTTTTGCCCCTTTCTATTCAGAATCATCTGCTAGGGATCCCTTTTTAGATTGGTGGACAGTGGTAGCTGAACACCATCTAGTTACTCATGGTCCCTTAATCCTGTTTCACCCCCTTTTTTTTTTTCAAGGTTGGTTTTCATCCCTTTTCTCTGTTCCAGGCAAGGGGAAACAAGTAGTTCCACCTTAGGTGGCTGTCCTACAGGTTTTAAGACCAATTGCCACTCACCAAAGTAGGAGTGAAAAGTTAGAACATACAGATTCATTGCTGAAAGCAAGAAGCTCATGCTATTAAACAAAGCTGCAGAACTGAAGGCATTGGGCACGTGTGCAACCTCTTCTTGGGGCTACAGCACCACTGTAGACTAGAGTCACCATGGAGCATGGGCCCCAGTACTCATTTTTTCTGTTCCATAACCTTTTATCAAAAAGCAGCGTGGCTTATGATTTTATTTCATTATGTATTTGCTTTTTTGTTTTAGAATTTCAGAGCTTGTATTTTCAAAAGTCATTATAAATGCTTTAGATAGTGATATAATTAGGATAAGTTTAAACAAGTCTTTTTGTTTTTTCCAGTACAATAAAAAAATGTTAAGAGACTTCTTTTGGGGATCTGATGTTAGCATTTTTCTTCTCTCTCTCTTCAGTGGATTTGGCATGATAACATGCAGTTTCTTCAAGACAAAAATATTTTTGAACATACATATTTTGGGTGAGTTTGGTAAATTTAGTAATTGATTTTTTATATATATTTTTTTAAGAAACCATATTTTTTTAAAGTCTTGTTCTGTAAGAATTTTAAGTTACCCTTTTAAATTCTAGGTTTATGTGGCAGTTGTGTAGCTGTATTCCCAGCACGTTACCAGACCCGAAAGCTGTGTCCCTCATGACTGCAAAGGTAAGGGCGTCCACCTCACAGAATGTAGTCAGTTTACTGCTGATTTTAAATGCTAATTTTGTTTTCTTTTTTTTAATAGTTAAGCACTTCCTTTGTCCTGGAAACATTCATTCATTCCAAAGAAAAGGTATGTCTTATTTTGTGGAGTGTTGTGTCTTTTAGCTTTATTATCTTTAGTTTAATAGTCTCTCTGCCTTCATTGACTTCTTCCTTTTTTCTTTCTAGCCCACGATGCTTCAGTGGATTGAATTGTTGACCAAACAGTTTAATAACAGTCAAGCTGCTTGTGAGGTGATGTGAATAATTCATCAAATAATACATGTCTTTAAATTCCACCCCTACTCCCACTCCCCCGCCCCCATTTTTATCTGGGATGCTGCAGCAGAATGGGTTTTTTTTGTTTTGGTTTGGTTTGTTTTTTAATTGTACTTGTGGCAAGAATTACTGTCTAATTCTACTCAATGGGCCAATGACCCTTGTGGTGGTAGCAAAAACCTTGTCCATCATGTAGCATGCTGCCCGCACTCACGAGTCCAGGCTCTAACAGTGTGCTCAGCAAAGTCATTTTATCTGTTGGAAATCTTAAGGACCACGTAGTAAGTTTTTCTTTGATATAGTTGTAATTTATATATAAAATCTGTTGTTACTGATTATTCTTTTAAAATCCTTGGTATATTCCCTTATTTCATGGAAAAGCTCAGAATATTCTAAAGGCTGCTGCAGATGATTTCTCAACTACATTGAAATGTTGTCAAGAAATATTCCAATAACCTTTATATCTAGTTTGATTTCTTTGTTTTATGAGACATGTCACTAAGGTTTATTACAACTTAACCATCTTGACATTTAAATACCTTGTATTTATATTAGCTCCAAATGTGGTATAAAACTTTGTACGAGTACGAATTTTAGGAATTTCAATCCAGATCTGTAGGAGAAAGAAAAACCAGTAGATTTAATTAATCAATGTTTTTCTTTTGGAAAACTCAAAACTTTCACTTGTTCCTGTCAATTCACAACAGGTCATAGCTGATGATTGGATTTCCAGAGGGGGATTTCCCCACTTGCTTCCTGGAAACTGGTAGATTTGTCCTGCCAGAGCTACCCCCACACACTGTGCCACCTCAGCTTCCTCTTGTTTTAAAAAGACACCTCATACTTTGTGGTGATAGAATAGATTATTGATAAACATAAATTTCAGACACACATTTAAAATCTACACAGAAGTAGAAAGATGATGCTTGTGTTTTATCACGTAGTATCAACAAATCAAAATTTCTTTCACTATTTATTACTCTCCCCACTGTGTCTTTTCAGCTAAAAATCCTTCTAAAGCTAACCCAGATAGTTTCATTAATTCATAAGTGCTCATTACACAGCCCTAGTAGGGAACATGTTAAAAAATGGAACCACAGTGCTGTTCATTCTTTGTAACATCAGAAGTGATTAGCTAATGCTGTCTAATAAAACATAGGTCATATTAAATAGAAAGAAAGTAAATCATGCTTATGTACTATCAGTGGAAACAAACGACTTGACAAGCATCTATGATGAATAGTAGGAAATTTTGGAGACTGAGTAGGTGAAAAGTTGGTGGTTTGAATCCAGCCAGAGGCACTTCAGAAGACTGTGCTCCAAAAATACAGCCTTGAAAGACTGTGGAGTATAGTTCTACTTCAGTTCAGCATAATTTTTATATTGTCTTGCTGGCAACTAACAAAAACTAGAAGAGGATAGTATTTCATTTGATTGTGTTAAAGGTGGCGGCCACCATACTATGTGCTGTGATGCACTTGATAAGCAGAATGTTAGTGCCATGCTGACTGGGAGTTGGATGATGAGAGGACCCTGTTGAGGATTTTAGACTCTCAACAACTGAAGAAGCATCTTTAATAAGCACTTAAGATTGTAGAACCATCAGCTAGAAATTAAGCCTTTTACACATTTGTTGTTTTTAAATCACACTCAGTTAAATGTTGGTTGAATGTTAAAATCAGGCTTTTATTTTCTTACAGTGGTTTTTAGACCGAATGGCTGATGATGACTGGTGGCCTATGCAGATACTCATTAAGTGCCCTAATCAGATTGTGAGACAGGTAAGAACTTGTTTCTAAAAGGAATGACCTCTGAGTTAATTGTTCTAAACTTGGATGTAAGTAACGCCCCTAGATGCCGCCCCTAGATGCCGTTAGTGGCTTGTGCATAGCTCCTGACCTGACAGGTTGGCACTTTGAACCCACCCAGTGATGACACAGAAGGAAGGCCTGCTGGCTGACTTGTGTGAAGATGACAGCTGGGAAATGAATTTAAAGGAGCTGCCTCCTATCAGAAATGTCGCTGGCTGTTGTCTCCACAGTTGGATCTTATCAAATATAATAAGGAAATTGAAATTGTTTATTTCTGAGTTACAAAGTCTGAACTTAATAAAGAAATCTGTCTGAAGCAAAAACTCCATGTTTTTCAGTAAAAGCAGTAGAAAATCATTAATACTGCAGATGTGGTGGCCCTGTCTAGTTCCAACTCTGCGATTTCACTGTCTGAGAACGGCCGATTCTCTCTGCTGCATTCAGGCTGCATAGTCCTTAAATGGTTCTTTTTTAGACTCTGAACCATCGTAGGATACTGTAATGACTTTGAAAGATAAATGAATAGGATACAGCTCATTTTCATGACAGGAGTCTGAACTATCACATGAAGCAGTTTGGTCCCTTGAATTACTGTGAAGATTGCTGTTAGGTACAGTGAGTCAACCAGGGCTTAGTGTAACCCTGAGGACAAGCTAAAACCTTGCTCTGTGTTACAAGATCCTCTGTAACAGGTTATTTTTCAATCTATTGTTGAAACTCCAAGAAGAGTTTAGAATGGCAGGTTATTAGCTGTGAGCAAACCAAAACTAAGTGGCATAGCATTGTGAGTCAGGCTGGTTTCTCCATGTCTGTTACTTGGCAGATGTACAATCTCAGGTTGCTAAATGGTTTTCTTTTCCAGATGTTTCAGCGCCTGTGTATCCATGTGATTCAGAGACTCAGACCTGTTCATGCTCATCTGTATCTGCAGCCAGGAATGGAAGATGGGTAAGAAATAACTAGTAAAGGTTTCATTTAAGCTTTCTGATGACCTGCCCATGATGTATTTTTAAAAATACTCATTCTGAAATATATACGTATGTATCTTTAATAATAGTTTTACAACAGGTTCTTTTTTTCTTCCTGCTTCTTCAAAATGCTCTACAAATAACTTCATGCCTGAGATGTGTTGATTGTGTTGATTCATTGGCCAAGTCATTATAATTAGAACCCAATATTTTCCAGTATGTTTTCTTCTTATGTTTAGTATTAAAATGATAGTAGAGATAAATGCAAGTATTTAGAAAATAATTCTCTTAGACAGTATTTCTCTGCAGACTTTATAATTCTCAAAGATGGTAATAAATTGTTTTCAGGTCCGATGACATGGATGCCTCGGTAGAAGATATTGGTGGCCGTTCATGTGTCACTCGATTTGTGAGAACTCTGTTATTAATTATGGAGCACGGTGTAAAACCTCACAGTAAACACCTTACAGAGTATTTTGCCTTTCTTTATGAATTTGCCAAAATGGGTGAAGAAGAGGTAAGGATGTATCTTAATTTTTCTCAGTTATGTGCTTATTTTTAAAACTTTAAAATTTTTACTTTGCTTTTAAATATTCTTGTTTTTAGAGCCAATTTCTGCTTTCATTGCAAGCCATATCTACGATGGTTCATTTTTACATGGGAACCAAAGGGCCTGAAAATGTAAGTTCCGTTCCCCTCATACCAGGATTTGACAGCTCATCTAGTTAGTAGTTTGTAGTAGTGCTGTCATTAGATAAGATCTCTGTTATTAAACTCTAAGGATCTAAGGCTGGTTAGTATTTTTTATGTCCTTTAAATGGATATAGAATAAAAAATTGAGTAATAAACTTCACTGATAAAGCAAGTAAACATGAACAAGATGCTTTTGGGTCCTCTCAACCTATTTGGCTGAGTATTCATATTCTTGGCTTTCCTATACTTTTTGAGTCCTTTGCTATTATTGTGTTTTGAAATCGTTCACATACTTAAATAGCTTTTCTAGTCCTGTTGTCTATATTGGCCAGCATTAAATTGCATTGTGTTAAAACTGTTTCATTTCATATTTACAATAGCTTTAATAAGTTAGTACTGTTTTTATTTCCATTTAACAGTTGTTGAAGAAGATAAAGCTCAGGGAAATTAACTGACCCTAGAACCAGTGAGGTGGGGAGTTCTAGTAGGGTAGTAGGGAGTGAGTTGCAGTGCTGACCTGGCAGTTCAGCTCCACCACAGCCCCAGGGAGAAGAGTCAGTGGGGTGGTTCTCAATGGTTTTAAAAGGTTTTTGACAGTGATTTGAATTTTGATCTGTCAAAACAATGTTTTCATGACCACTCTGTTCTCATATTTCTCAAAAAATGGATTTGATTTTCCTATTCTTGTTTAGACATCTCATTAAACAACTCTTGATTGGTTCAATCATAAAATTTTTTTAAGTCCTTTGAACTTCAAATCCCCGGCAGTATGTGAAATGATCCAGGAAGTATTAAAAGAAGATGGAAGGAATATACTGAGTCACTGTATCGAAAGGAATTGGAAGACACAGAAGAATTTCATGAAACAACATATGAGCAAGAGCCTATGGTGATGAAGGAAGAAGTTCAGGCTGCTTTGAAGGACATGGCAAAAAATAAGTCTCCAGGAATAGATGGTATACCAATTGACATATTTCAGTTAACAGATGCTGCCCTGGACGTGCTCACCAAGTTGTGCCAAGAAATCTGGAGAACGACCACTTGGCCAATTGACTGGATATTTGTTCCCATCCCAAAGAAAGGTGACCCAACAGAATGTGGAAACTACAAAACAGTCTCACTGATTTCACATGCAAGCAAGATTTTACTGAAGATTATCCAAAAACGACTGGAACAGCACATCAACAGAGAGCTACCAGAAGTCCAGGCTGGGTTTAGAAGGGGTCGTGGTACTAGAGATATTGTAGCTGATGTTAGATGGATCTTGGCTGAAAGCAGGGAATACCAGAGGAATATCTATCTGTGTTTCATTGACTATGCAAAGGCGTTTGACTATGTAGATCATAACAAACTATGGCTGACTCTGAGAAGAATGGGAATCCCAGAACACTTGATCGTTCTAATGCGAAACTTATACTTGGACCAGGAGGCAGTCGTCAGAACAGAGCAAGGGAACACTGCATGGTTCAAAATTGGGAAGGGCGTACGCCAGGGATGCATCCTATCTCCATACCTTTTCAACCTATTTGCAGAACAGATTATCCGGGAGGCTGGGCGCTATGAGGAGAAATGTGGGGTCAAGATTGGTGGGCGATTTATCAATAATCTGCGTTATGCGGATGACACAACCCTGCTTGCTGAAACTGAGGAGGACCTGAAGCGCCTGCTGCAGAGTGTCAAGGACTGCCGCCTACAATATGGATTGAGGCTAAATGTCAAGAAGACAAAGATTCTCACCACTGGACCAATTGGCAGCATCAGGATGGATGGTGAAGAGCTTGAGATTGTGCACAGCTTTAGTTTGCTTGGCTCCATAGTCAACAGTCTTGGCACCAGCAGCCAGGAAATTAAAAGGCGCATTGCCATGGGGAAGTCTGCTGTTAGGGACCTCTCCAAAGTGCTGAAGAGCAATGGTATCTCTTTGGAGACTAAGGTGTGTCTGATACAGGCCATGGTCTTCGCAATCACCTGTTATGCATCAGAGAGTTGGACAATGACCAAGGAGGATAGAAGGAGAATTGATGCCTTTGAGCTGTGGTGCTGGAGAAAAATATTGAGAATACCATGGACTGCTAGGAAAACAGATTTGTCCTGGAAAGGGTTAAACCGGGTGGCTCCTTGGAGGCAAGGATTCTGAGGCTCCGTCTAACATACTTTGGACATGTTGTGAGGAGAAACCGGTCCTTAGAGAGGGACATCATGCTTGGGAGAGTGGAGGGACAGCACAGGAGAGGAAGGCCCTCTATGAGGTGGATTGATTCAGTGACTGGGATAATTGGGATGGGAGTGTCAGAGATAGTGCGATTGGCACAGGACAGAGCGGAGTTTAGGGCTGTTGTACATAGGGTCCCTATGAGTCGCAGGCGACTCGACGGCACATAACAACAACAACAAATGAATATAACTTTTTTTTTTTAATAATTATTTTTGTGTGAGTGTACCGTCAAATCCGATCTGACTGGTACAGGAGGAGATTGTCCCTCCTTCCTCGGCAGAGCATCTGGTGGATTCGAACCGTGCGCCTCTGGGATTGTAGTTGCAGCTCCTTGCCACTAGGCCACCAGAGCTCCCCTAAATGAATATAACTTAACTGCTTGTATTATCTTCAAACTACAAATAAATTTCTTTGGTTTAACTAGCATTTTTACTGAATAGGAAGTAGTGTTTATCTTTCAAGGGACTTTGATTATAAGTAGAGAAATTATTTAAGGTTTTATCTCTTCTAGATGAGATAAATTGTCACAGAATTGAGAGTTATTGTTTTAGAGGTCTGCCCAACGAGTGTAAAATTCTTTGAAAGGCTGTTTAGACTGTGTTTGAAACTGGTCAGGAGCCTTTGAGTGGGTGGTTGTCGTGGTATTCGCTCCTACCATCACTTACGTGAGCCACTTACAGAATGTGTTACTTGCTTTCAAGATGAGGAAAGAATCAGTACCGTATTGAAATTGAGTTTGATTCCCTTCTAGCCTCAAGTTGAAGTGCTGTCAGAAGAAGAAGGTGAAGAGGAAGAGGAGGAGGAAGATATTCTGTCTCTGGCAGAAGAAAAATACAGGCCCGCTGCGCTTGAAAAGATGATTGCTTTAGTTGCTCTTCTGGTTGAACAGTCTCGGTCAGAAAGGTAAGTGCTTTCATACTCAAAGTGCTTAAAGTATGTTTGGCTTTAGTGTTTCGTATAATTGTCTTGTCCTTCCTAATTCAGGAGCTTTATTTAAACCTTTATAAAAACAGCTCATTCATCAATCTTGTACGAGTAGAGAATTTATCCTGTTGGACATATATACCGAAGATGATTATAGTGAAGATTCTAGCAATACTATATATGCATTTATCCTTTAACCCAACAGATGTTGAAATCTGCCTTAAAAATAGAATAGCTAAAATAAGTAAATCACTGAAGCAGTGATTGTAATTGCAAACTATTAGAAACAACCCAAATACTTATCAAAACAGAGTATCCAGACAGTATAATGTTTAACAGCTGAAGAAAAACGAAGGAAGGATAGGGTGATGTGTACTACCCTGGAGAAAGTATGACACAGGCTGTTTACGAAAAGGGTGGCTATTAGCGCGAGCATGTGTGAGAGAGTGTGTGTTAATGAGAGAGTAAGTGGAAAACATTATTTTCGATGGTCTTGAAGGTGGGGGTGGAGAAGAAGAAATGAAAAGACTGGAAACAAGAATTCCTTTCTTTGAATATACTTCTGTAGATTTTTAATTTTTTAATCATGTAAATATTTTTATATAGTTCTAAATAAGTGAATAAAAACAGTCCCTAAAATCAAGACAAAGTGAAATAAACGAGCATAATTCTGTGCCATATTTCTTTGCAGATAACTTGCACCTCATACGGTTTTTGCCGTCTGCACAACACTACCTCACGCTTGGACGTTATTCTCATTAGCATTATTTGCCCTTTTTTTAACACATTGCTGATTTTGGTTGACACTATGAAGACATAATTAAACTGATATTTGTTTCATAGCTGCCCTAATGTAATCTAATAGTTTTACTTACAAAGATATAGTAAAGTTTTGTACTCGGCTGTTAAGCTCACATTTTCTATTTATCAATCTAAGTGAATAGAAACAAGCACACTATTTCATTTGTTAGTTTTCTAGTTGTTGGACGACTGCCAAACTGGATCCACGACTGCTTATACCTTTATTCTATAGTTATAATTGAAAGTAATAGTTTTCAGACTATTTTTTGTACATGTAATCAAGAAATGAAAGAAAATGTACAAAAGGCTGTGAATTGTCTGTAATGGGGAGGAGCAAGTGAGTGAAGACAGACTTACTTCTGGAGACATCACAAGACATGCGGTGTATGTGCGCACTGTGACAGCAGGTTTACTTAATGGCCTCATTTCTGCACGTTTTTAGGTGTGTGTGGTCACGTTATTTGCAAAAAAGTGTAGTATTCAGCTGGTAGTTTAGGGATTATCTGAAATGTCTTTAAAACCCATTAACTGTCAGTCCCTAGTGAGATGCACATTAAGGGCAAACTGTTAAATCACTGTAAACTCTTTCAGTAATTTCATTATTAGTAATGTAAGTGGAATTACACTGAAGCTATTATGCATGTTATAGAATAAAGCAGATAAGCGATTGTTAATGTCATTAGAAACCCTCAATTTACAGCAAACACAAAAAATCATAAAATTATAACATTATAGTGTTTTTATATAACTTTATAAATAAATTTGAACCAGAAATATTGGTGTGAGATCATGATTTATTTTTTCTTAAGCAAATAAAAATTCCATCTCCTACATCTCTTTTCCTGAATAAGCTTAATACATCCTTGTTCCCCAGCCCAGAATCGGTGAATACCCCTGGCATCTCATTTATAAATCCTAGAGGTGTCCACTGAAAGAATTCTTATGCCTTGGAGATACTGCTGATTTTAATTCTGAGACAGGAAATTAACCTGAAATTGTCAATCTGGAAAACAAATGAGCTAATAAATGATATTCTGGTGGAACTCTGGTGGCCTCTTGGTAAGAAGTTGTGCTGCCTACCCAAAGGGACATGATTTGAATCCACTAGCTGCTCGGACCAAGAAAGATGGGCAAAGTCTTCCTCTCTCAGCTTCTGAAAACCCACTGAGCTATGAGTTGCTTCCGACCTATGGGCTTCACCAGCAGCAGCTAGTTGATGTTAACACAACACTCGTGGCATGGTCTGTAGGGTTGTGCTGCTGACGGAATTGGGGTGCCTCTGAGACCACCAGCACCTCCACTGGAGAACAATGGTGGTGATAGCCTCTGAAAACTCTAGAAGATCAGCTGTGAACCAGCTCTAGATCAAAAGCAGTGAGGCAGAGTTTGAGTTGTAAGGCCGTTTTAGAAGGATTCGAGTCAATTACACTTCATTACTTGTTAAATATTAAGCCACTTGAGCATCACTAATTGTAACTTCAGAGTGGACTGACACATGTCAGAAGTTTGCAGAACCAATGACGCATGATACATAAAAACTGTTTTATTTATAATTCTTAGGAAACTACTGAATAGTTGCGCATCAGTTTTTTTAAAACTAATCAGGTACATGTATCACTCATCAATGCAACAATCATGCATTTATCTCTTCTGGGATGGTTATCTTTATTCTTTACTTTTTAAACTTTTTATGTCAGTGAAGATGAAGAAATCATTTTGATATTTCATACAATCATTCATAGACATTTTGTTTTAGAACATTTTGTTACCATTGGTGTCATTAATTAGTTGCAGTGTCTAATAAAGGATTCATGCCTCTGCAAACTATGAACTTTGAGAAATGATATTTATAGAAAGGCTTTATGCTTGACTCGACAGCAGTCAACAACAATAAAGGATTCTATTTTAACCTGCTGATGGGTGACATAAAGTTTATTAATATGGAAATAAATGAATTCATAAATCAGTAAGACTTACACTATCATCATTCCTTCTAGAAATAGACTAAGCTGCATTTTACATATTTTGGGCATGTTATCAGGAGGCAACAATCTTAGAAAACGACATCATGCTAGGAAAGTAGAGGGTTAGTGCGAAAGAAGCCCCTCAATGAGATGAATTGACAGTGACTGTAACATTGGACTTGAGCACAGGAGAGATCATGATGGCACAGCATAGGGTAAGATTATGATGGGTCACCACAGTCATAGTCAACTCAGCAGCACTTAATAGCACTACTATTATGTAACAGCTCTTCAAAAACCAGGCCTAACGAATTGCCATAACCTGATAACATTTCAGACATGGACAGCTCTTTGTGTACCTGCTGGTACAAGTGCACACCATTGATTGCTTATAAAGTGTTCTTAATAAAGATGTAAGATCTTAATCACAAGTTTCTAGATCTACCATTTTATAGCAATTAAGGGACAGTAACAAATTCACATCTGTAGGAATGCCATCAGCAAAACAGAAAATGGTAGAACACTGTTGTCTGCAGCCTGCTTTTTCAGTAGATAAAATGCAAGATAGAGTATATGAGAGGAAACCAATGGATTAATAGATGAGACATATCAATGCGGTACAGTATGTGGATATACTGACTCCTGATTTGGTCACATTAAGATAGTGAATTTATTATTTATTTTTATTTTTTAGAAAATTGCAGTGATGGGATCAGTGTATCATAGTAGAGAATTGCTGCTCTCATGTAGGTTACTGGACTCTAGGAGGAGTTGGTGGCAGTTAGTACTGTAGATTCCAGGTCGTGACGATCTACATGATTGTGTAAAACTGTCCCATTGGATTTACTTGGCTGCCATCTTCATTGTAGTTGCCATCTCTTTATTTCACAGAGCTGTTGGGTGGATTCAAACCTGTAACCTTTCAGTTTCCAGCCAAGCTCTTAACCATTGTATCATGGGGTCCTTATTAGGTAGATAGTCAAGATCCTACTTTTTTCCCCCCATTTCTGTGTGTCTGAACTCTTCAGAAAAAAAAATTTTGATAAAATATATTACAGCATCATTCCTCAAAGTTGGAAGTGGAAATACCATTTGACCAGTTATCCCGTTACTGGGAATATTTGCACAGCCATGTTAATTGCAGCATTATTCACAGTAGCTAAGAGATGGAAGCAGCCTGAGTGCTTGTCAACAAATGGATAAGGGAGAACTGTGGCACAGCCACACGATAGAATATCACGCAGCACTGGAACGCAATGAACTTGTAAGACACTGCAAAACATGGATGAGTCTGGAAGACATTATGCTCAGTGAAATACCGTAGTCACAAAAGGATAAATACTGCAAAATACCACTGTTAAAATAGGATGGGCGTGGAGGAGAGGAGAGCAGAAAGGAATGGATAATGACCACGATGCTGGGATGGGGGACGGGAAGAATGTCAGGGACTGGATGATTCGACATCAAGTGTATAGCAACTGACAACCTGGAACAAGACATGCATTATAAAACAAACTGGGAGGGAGAGGAAGGATATATCAATGAATGAATGAAACCCTTTGTGATTTTAGTGAAAGTTTAGAAAAGAAGGAAAGATGTTGGGACTCTGTTCTGCTGTGGCCTACATGTAGTTGCTCTGAGTGAAATCAGCCCCACAAAACCTGGTTCAGTTTGTTTTGCATTAGGGTTATAATAAATTTGTTATTACATGTTTCATTTTGGGAGATTTTGGGGTTTTGTGTATCAAAACATGGACTTGAAATGATCCTAAGAAGTGCAATGTGGATGGAGGCAAAACCCCACAATCTTTAAAAAGATAATAAATCCCATGAGCAATGAAAACACCATTGTGTGCTTATAGCTCAGGTAGATGGGACCATATGATGCATAGCAGCAGAGTCATTACGGCAGAGGTTCACATGGCCTGTTCATCCTGGGAACTCATTGGTTCTGCGTTTCTTCACTTTTCTCCCTTCTTTGTTCGGGCAGAGAGACTTAGATGGCAGCTGGAAAGCTTAGTCGGCAAAGCAGGGTGTAGAACATTGTCTTGTGGAATATACTGTATCCGTTGACATTGTTCCCCCAGGACAGTGGCCTTGAGACTCTAGGACCAGCGGCTCATGCCTTCAGAGTGTTTGATTATGACTAAGAAACTTATTTTGTCACCTGTTGCCTCTACTGTAGATGTGGCTATGTTTACAACATACACTATGCATGCAGAAATACAATTTACCAGAATTTCTGTGTGTGTGGGGGGGAAACAAAACCCTTTGACTTGGTTAAATAGAAATAAAATTTATTTGAGCTTCCATATGTCAGTTCCGGAATCTAAAAAACCTCCTTGAAACAGTATTAATAGGCCTAGGTCAATAACAATTAGATAAAATAATGTATATGTGATTGTATAAAATGTAATATTACATGAATGAAATATTAAACCAATAAAAAATGGAGCGGGGAAAAATACCTGATTATAAAGATGTCTGGGAGAGTTTAAAAAGATGCTGCTGATAATTCATGAGTTACAGTATAATTGGCAAGAAGTAAAAAATAATTTCTTGCTGGTAGCTTGGTGTAGTTTGAATCGCATCGGCAGTTTTTCTCCGTGTTACGGTGTGAGTACCTATGAAGCAATACACAGGAGGGAGGACTTTTTTCAGCCAATCTTTTCTTTCAGGCATTTGACACTATCACAGACCGATATGGCGGCATTAACCGGAGGAAAGGTAATACTTCTTGTTTTCAAACAATTTTTACTTTCACTAAAATAGAACAATTCTAAAATGAATACTCTTTGCTTTTAACAGGGATTTCCCTTCTTGTTTCAACATATTCGTGATGGCATCAATATAAGACAGACTTGCAATCTGATTTTCAGTCTCTGTCGATACAATAATCGACTTGCAGAACATGTAAGTATTAAGACATAGCTGTAAAGATTTTGAGTAATTTTTTTATGTATTCTGAAAATCTCCTTTTTCTGTTTTAGATTGTGTCAATGCTTTTCACATCAATAGCAAAGTTGACTCCTGAGGTATGTTGGCAATTGTTTATGGTTTTTTTAAAACTGTCATCAATTTCACATGAACATCTATAATAGTTTTTAAAAGAATTATCACATTTCCACCCAGAACTTGTTTCTAAGTGTGTATAACTTGACTATACCAAATTAAATAATCATATCCTAAGGATGTAAATAGGAATGTGTCATTTACTGCCCATTTGCTAAAACCGCGAATGGCTTAGAGCATATAATTGTACCCAAATCGGGTGGATCAGCTAGAGTTCTGTAAAGGTCAAGTGTTACCACTTTGATTATCAGCTCATAGCAATTTCATAGAGTCGAGTCGCTCCTTCCTTTCCTAGATTATACTCTTCACAGAAGCAGACTGCCAGGTCTTTTTCCGCCAGAGTGTGTTCAGATCAGCAGGCCTTTGTTTAGTCACCAGCCACTTGACTGCTGTATCCCCAGGGCTCCTTGTAGGCGAAGGAGTAGATGGAAAGTAGAATATGGATGGTACAAATGGAAATGTTGCCGCTCCTGTAACCCTCTGTTAACTTAATCCTGTAAAAAATGTTCGTCTGAGTTTTTCAGTGGGACGTGGGTGACTGATTAGCAAGTTTCTTTCCACTCTCCTCAAGTGAAATGTCCAGATTTGACGTCCAGGAAAAGACATGTGTGCTGTTGAGTGGGACTTCCGTATAAGTGACTTCAATCCCCTAGCTGATCCTGCTGCCTGTGGTGATTGAGTTCATATGCAGGAGCACTGTCTGCTAGGTTAGCCCTTGAAATTCAAATGTGTTGAAGAATGTGTCTTATTGACACAGTGAAGTTGGTACAGAATGATGTGCATACTTGTTTCCCACTGATAGACGTGGATTAAAATTGATCCCAATACAGTCATGTTATGTGTCTCCCAGGCAGCCAATCCGTTCTTTAAGTTGTTGACTATGCTCATGGAATTTACCGGCGGCCCTCCAGGAATGCCCCCCTTTGCATCTTACATTCTACAGAGAATATGGGAGGTGAGTTTTGCTGCAATTTTGGGGGGCTTTTTTTGTTTTAGTTTGTTTTAGCTACCAGTCTCTTCTTGGATATTACAAAATAGTTTTGGTAGTCAGAGAAGATGATTTGGGACTTAAAAAATTCAGACGGAAAAAATTCTTGGCTTTTGATGGACTCTTATGTAGCATTTTAGCCAATCTGAGTTCCTCTTTTTTTTGACTCTCACGAGTCCCTAAAAGAAATCATAGAAGTTAATGGCATATAAGTATTTTTAGCTATCGACAGAATTTATAGTGGAAGTATCGATAATTTCCCTTCCTCTTGAGTTATTGCTGAGTTCATACTTGCCCCCAACCCTTAGGATTCAAAAAATCCTGCCATTTGAACCAGGGTTGGCAAACTGTAAGAGGCTACATAATACACTTTTTTTAGACTTAATTTGTCTTTACCTGTTGCCATTCGCACCGTTTATACATGAGTTAGCATGCCAGTGTTCAGTAAAACCTTAACGTGTAGCACCAAAATTTACTGCTACTCTATAGATTTCATTTTTCTTTCCCCAGAAAAATCTCAGCATTGCAGTGAACTACTTTCCATAGGTTGTTCATGAAATTTAAAAAAAAAAAAGGTTTAAAGAATTAAAAATATTTTTAAATAGACTCCCATATACACTCTTGATTATTTCCCATTTATTTCACAAACTAATCTAATGACAAGTTGTGAACATTGTCTGTTCATGAATGCAGATAGTCTTTTAAAAATAGGGGAAGAATGTGGATGAAATTTATCAGTCTTTAATTTTCAAGAAATTTTAGCTACATGTAGATATATCAAAAGCTCAATTGTTCTATATTCTGTTCTTGACTTTCCCCTCCCTTGAATTCCAGGTGATTGAATACAATCCTTCTCAGTGTCTGGATTGGCTGGCAGTGCAGACCCCGCGAAACAAGCTGGCACACAGCTGGGTCCTACAAAATATGGAGAACTGGGTGGAGAGGTTTCTTCTGGCTCACAATTACCCTAGAGTCAGGACCTGTAAGTCACAAATTCAGAATGGAGCAAACTGTTCCATATTTTGTTTCCTTTTGAAGGTGACTGCAGTGTGCCCATCATTGTCTAACCCTAAAAGCCCTGGAGATGTTTGTAAAGGTCAATAGTAAATAATATGTGGAAAGTTATGACAATGTTTTACCAGATCTATTGTGTTTGTATTAGGATACAAAACCATACTCTTTCATGGGTAATGTCACTACTGAGTTTGGTTGTTTTTTGTTTTTTTTCCTTGCCAACAGCTAGACATGGCAACTTCTGTGAAGGTTGCAGAATAATAAAGAGATACTAAGCGGAGAAAATATTTTCTTTAATGATAAACAGACCTAAATAATTGTCCTCAAACTTGTTAAGAGACAAATAGCTATTTGACAATGTGGAAAATTGCTTGTAAATATGTGCTTATAGTGGTATAGACTGAAGAGGTTTTTTTACCTAATTTACAGTATAAAAATTTAAGGATTAGCTGAGAATGTTTGGTCCAAAGAAATAGGATGTATACCATTCAGCTGGAACCAGTGTTTTCAGAGGCTGGGAATTACACAGGAGGAGATTGCTCGTCTCTCGTCCACCTGGTGGTTTTGAACCGCGAGCCTCTGAGCTCCTTAAAAAAGAGGACAGACATCTTAAAATAGGCAAATATGAAAGAGGAAGTAGGCTTATGCCAAGTTATTTGTACTATAAAATTGAGCACAAGAACCTAAGGCAGTTGTTTCTAAGGCAGTTTGGTTTTTTGGAGGTTGTATAAGCAAGATAATCTGTTCTTCCTAATTTGCCATTTCTTCTCAAAGATAAATCTCCTCCCCCAACATAACTAATTTTTAAAATTTTAAAGTCTCAAATTCATACCTTTGATAGGAATAGACACATGGTAAATGTCAGTTGTATAGTCTGTGTGACAGGTCCATGGATCTTCAGAACAATTTATTCAGCTTCGTTGTTTGAAAATTGCATAATAAAATGTTGGGGGTGTGTCTCTCTCAGGGAAGTCTCTCTCAGGGAGGAGTGATAGGGAATGGCAAAGGATACACTGACAAAGAAGATTAATCAGAACTGGCTTTGACAAGCACTGTGGCA